GAAGTATAAGTTCGGACGAAACCGATCCGTTTCTCTCTAAAAGAGCTTCGCTCCAACTATCAATACTATGGCCTCAGCATAGGCAATCACCCAACAGCCGAGTTTCTCCAAAGTCTCCAAGCAGATCGGTAATGACAGCAAACCAAAACGGCGGTGAGCGAAGTCCCTTTTGTGGGCTACCCCTACTCACTTTCTTCTGGAAGGAAGCGCTGTCTGACTCTACTCCAACTGCTATGTTTTATGTCGATTTCCACATTTAGTTTATTGAGATAAAATATCATTGCCTCTAACAGAGCAACAAAGACCCTCGATATAAAGAAAAGCACTAAACGCATATTTTTTTACCAAAAGGACTCTACAACGGTCCTTGCTAATTTGCAGATAACCGATCTCTCCATCCTTCTTAAAGCTTAAACAGATGGCAGCGTTTATCCGGATCAACTCGGACTTAATCCGGATCAACTGTAGTTAATTCCCGATTTGGTCCGGATCAACGCTGCCGTCTGTTTAAGCTTTTATGTGCAAAGTGACCAGCCTCCCAAGCGTATTTAGTAGATACGAAAAGAGAGTGATGTATTCGCAGACTTCTGCAGTAGGATGTGTATGATACCGTGGAAAGCTTGGTTTTTAAAAGCTTAAACAGACGGCAGCGTTTATCCGGATTAACTCGGACTTAATCCGGATTAACTGCAGTTAATTCCCCAGTTGATCCGGATCAACGCTGCCGTCTGTTTATGCTTTAAGAGTCGATAGCCCATTGCAGGATATGTTCATCTATTAAAGATAGTCTATGTAAGAACTGGATGTTTTTTTTTCAGTGTACACGCCAAATATAAATCATTGACTGCTCGCCAGCTTGACTGCTTGGCTGCCCAATTCTTCTGACTCAGCAGCTAAAATCACTATTATTATGCGGCTGACGTTAGCTTTGCGGTTGAGTGCTGTTATGTCTATGCAGAAAAATGCAACAGGAGCAGCAGCTGCATAAACAACAAAAACAAAATTGAATGCGTGTAAGCAAACAATAATTTGATTGAAAAGTCCAAGGAGAATGCAAAGCGGCTAAAAGATCGCGGAAGTTTCTGCTTGGTTTAGCGCGACAGCACGCACATCAATGCACATACATACATACATATGTATGTATGTTTATAGGTTCGCTTGCATCAATGTTGCTTTGTTTATACATACATATTTAGTACATATTTATGTATCTCTGCATCACCACCTGCCATCCAAAATATATCTAAACAGCAACAACATTGCTTCGCAAAGAGACCGCACCGCGTAAACATCAAATGGAGGCGTAACAATGCGAAAAAAGCGCAACTCCGCGGGCTTTCAACTGAAAAAGTGTGTAGAAAGAAAAAATGTCTGCAACAAAAAAAATAAAAATAATAATAAAAAACCCCACAAAAGCAGCTGCTAATGGCATGCTCGTGAGTATGTTTGTTTGTATGTGCAATATTTTGTAGTTGTGGTTGGAACTTTGCTTTTGAATTTTTCCATTGTTATTGCAGTTGTGCAGCGTTTTTCGAGACTCTAGAATGCAGCAGCTTAGTAACTCAAATACACCCATGCAATATGTTATGCAATGATAAGGAAGACGGTGGCATTTTTATTGTTGTTTTAAATTTTTTTTTTTTTTTTGAATTTTTAAAAATGTTTTTCTTACCGCTGTGATTGTTGTCGGGTATTGCATTCTTAGTTGTTGACGTTTTTGGCCCCACTACATCAGCAACATATGGATTTTATGCGGAGCGAAAACACACACGCAGGCGTACACACTTACATATGTACATACATACATACATACATACATAGCTACCTGTAAATAAAACACACTTTTTTCGTCAGGTTGCTATAGAAAACTTGTGCTTCTCTTATCGATAGAAAGAAATGTACAATAAAAACAACGCCGAAGACTTTAAAATCTTAGCCAGCCCACTTGTGCACCATCGCGGGTAAAGCCGCAGCAGCACTGTTTATGTTTGCTACCAACAGCTTTTTGCTTGTTTATGACCACTAATTGCAGTTGCGGCTTAAATTTATGCAAACTAAGACATCAACGCAACGCCACTTAGCCTGAGCGGCAAGCAATCAAACCCCTGGGTACATACCGCATCCATGCGGTGGGGATGGTGGATAGCTCATTTTTGCCTCAATATTTGCACTTATCGCGCGATATTAGCAATTCGCGCTGAAAGAGAGTGTGTGGCAACAACATAACAAAGTGCAAGTTGTATGCTGCCATCTACAAGTAGATTGTGGTCTCTGTTGATGGCTGTAAACGCCCACCATAAGCTCAGCTGCTTTGGCGTTGCTGAGTGGTGAGTGGTGAGCCTAAAGCGACCAGAACATTTGTTCATAGAAAAGAATTTAAATGAAAAAAGAAACCAGGGAAAGAGTTTCCGCAAATGTTGGCAACGATTTTCCAATAATTAGCGCTGCATATAACTACATACATACATATGTATGCACTTATATATGTATATATGCACTGTACTTTTAGGCTTTGTCAGGTAAAGGTTTCATGGGAAAATTCAAGTCATTAATGGCCTAGGGAGTATTTAGTGACTTGAGAAAAAATAATTTATTAAAGGGATTATAGAACAACGTGTCTTGGAGCACAGATATGCCGATGAAAAGTGTTATTAATTAAAACCTAACGGAAAATATTAAAATATCAGCTCTACTCGTTTATTGGCTTAATTAATATTAATGATTTTAATAAAAAGCGATGTATTTTTTAATCTTTGTTCTCACAATGCTTGATGTAAAATATTTTTACTATGTAAATTTGTACCCAGTCGGAAAAGTAGTATGGCATTACATGCGTGATAAATAATTTAATGTATTTCTTATGAGTTTTCGATTATATTACTGATAATTATGTAAATTGAGTGCTCCATTTTTCTTAGGATGTCGCCCTGGGGAAACAAATGCATTCTCGAATGTGAAAAGGGTTCTTTTACTGATTATTTTTTCGATTACTATACATTACATTTTCCCGCTGGCTATGTATGTACTGTGTATATGTATATTAGGCATGTGACTGTTTTATAAAATTAATTATACCTGCGTATATATGAGGAGAGGATGAGGAATGATAATAAACCGAAAAAATTTTGTTTTTGTAAAAAAAATTGTCATAAAAATTTTCCACAGGCAACTTCGAGAACAAAAATTTTTACTGGAAAATTCCATGTCAATCGAATTATGACTGCAATCAAAAATTGTTTTCTAAAGCTTTTTTCCGTTGACTTAGATCCATGTATATATGTATGTATATATATGCCTCTTCACATGCCACATAAAAAAATCATCTATGTACAATGAGGGTGGGTCAATTGTTCTTTACTAAATCGTATGGTATCGTCTGATTCTGCACATTAATTCTAAGCGAAAGTATAGAAGAAACCATGGGTCAGAAATGGGTTTCGAGCCTGCGCATTTTTAAATGAAAAAGTTACCTTTTCACAGTATTGTTATTGTTTTTGGAATTTTTTGTTGCAAAAAGTGCTCAATTTCTCCATATAAAAAAAAATCGCCTTTTGAATGGAAGAAAATGCCCCATACGGTCTGAGATAAATTGGCAAAATCAACGGTAAGTCCTAGCTAATTGCACTTTATTCTAATAAAGATGAATGGACTACAAAACTGTATACTCAAAATCTTTCTAAGACATCAAACTAAAATGCTTAAAATTTTTACCAAAATTTATCGAATTTATTTTTAAAAATTGCTGAAAATTTGAAGCTTGAATTTGTAGAATTTTTTGTTAAAGAGTAAACTTAATCTTTACAAAAAAATAACTAAAATTAAATAACAAAAAAATTAATTGTTAAAACTGTTCAGTATGTGGTGCGTTTATAATTCAAAATGTCATTAATCAGTTCAAAAATAATAAAAAGATAAAAAGAAGCTATAATTTTTTGCCAATGGAAACTTTTACTTCATACATAGTTACTGTGCACAACTTTAAATATTTTTTAATATTTCTATAAAGATTATATAATTTTTATAAATTTTATTGAAAACGAAAGCATTTAATCCATATTTTACAACACAAAAACATCTTTCTTGAAAATTAAGTGTGGCTCAAATTCATCTTTGAGTGCACAAAGGTAAAATATAGTTTTTTTCAGTCACACTCACTCAAATGCTAGTTACATAAAACTAAGAAATCGTTTGGTATTTTTTTTATGAATTTCATACATTAATTATCGTTCTAGGTTTATATTTAAGTAGCTTTTGCTGTTGCGCCACATAGTTAGAATTCAGCATTGATCACATTATTTAGTAAAATGTCCAACCATTTAATATAGAATGGCCCTTTATAGTTTTGAGGGTGTATTTGGCCTCTAACTTTGTGTTCGGACGTTACTTAAAACGGAAGCGATATTGAAATGGTCATCAAAGTCAACAGATTTCTGCAAATTTTCATTTATATACAACGCAATCTTCAATAATACTTTGAAGGGAAATTAAAAAATTTAATACATTTTTTTCGTTTTTTGGTTGTCTATTTCTCAGATTTGCCCATATTCGAATATCCGGATTATCCGAATACTCAAAAAAATCTAGATAGAACTCCCAGCCCTAGTATGTACGATTCATAAATTAATCATTGTGTTTTATAACTATTATGGTAAAACTAGGTAGGCCGTAGTATTTAAACTGTCCCCCTATGTATTACCTCAATAAGTTTTTCTATCCAATAATGGGCAATTCAAAAACTATAACTCCTTACTAGAGAATCGTGCCAGATGGCCAAGAAAAAGTCCTACTGCGTTAGTCATCCCCAATGTGTATTCACTGAACTTTTTCAGATTCGTTACAGTCCTTCAAAGGTCGAAAGACAAATGGCCTGCTGCCAAAACCGCAAAAAGTGATCGCATTGAAAGATACTCGGGCCAATACGGAATACCAAATGTACTGAGTCACGTGACCATTACAAATGAAAGCAACTGGTTTATGGAAATGTGTGGCATGGCATATATATGTACATCCATATGTATGTATGTAAGTTTATGCAGCGTGAAGAACACAAATATCATGAGCGTATGTATGCCTCAAGGCAATGACTAGGTTGGGCACCTTAACCAAGTAATGACACACACTCGCCAAGAACGCGACAGCAGAGGATTGAAAGTTAATTGTTAAAGTTGCAATAATTATTTAATTAAATTCAAATTTAACTCAAAGAAAATGTTAAACAAAAGGGTGAATGTTGATTGAATTAATATTTTTTCTTTGATTAATTTACAGATCGCCAGTTAATTGAGGGCTGAAGAAAAAAATAACGGCTTTACGATAGCCAACTATCAATCAACCGCCCACACTAATTAATTTGACATATAAGTCTGAACAGAATTGAAGTCCAAGTAATCGAGACCAACAGCTGCCACGGAAACGGCACAACACATCAGACTTTACTCTCAAAAATAGTAGGAGGCAAAAAATAAACGTACAGCACACATACCCACACAAAATGCAGTGCGGCCTAGAGCAAATGAACGACTGTGAACGCTCGCCGAACCGGACCAATCTCCGCGTCAACTTCAACGAGAAGGGTGCTGAGGTGAAGGAGCGACGCGAAAAGTTCCTCACCGCCAAATATGGTTCACATCAGATGAGCCTGATACGTAAACGCTTGGCGGTTGAGATGTGGCTGTATGATGAACTGCAGAAACTCTTTGATCCACCGGTAAGTTG